GAAAGGTATCAAATTTCATTTTGAAATGTCAGCTACAACTACACCAGAGCATAACTTGAAATTAGCTTACAGATGTTGTTGTTTATTGTTTTTCTAAAGTTATTGTCGAAAAAAAGATTGGCAGAATATTAATAAACCAATTTAGTCACTAGCAATACTCAGGTACTTGAAGTTAAAACATGTTAAAAGCCTATATAGTCTTAACAGATATTCACCTAGTATAAAATATTTGGAACACCAAAAATGGTTTCAGCACTAATAATAATACATAGCTAGCAGTAACCCAGTGAATTAATGTATTTGTTGAGAAATGTTATAAGCAATCAGAACAATCTTTTTTTTCATTAGGAACTTAAGAGTGGGCCTTCAGGAACATATTCTTAAGAGACTTTAATGCCCAGAGCAGAATAAATATCAGGACAGAGTGTAGGCAACAATGAATCATGTTGTTCAGTTGCCATTTAGTTTGTGAATATCTAAATACCACAGGTACACCTCCGTTGCTCATTTCATTACAAGTATCCAGCTGCCTAAAATTTTGCATTTCTGAACTCAGACTACCACCAGTCCTGGCAAGTCTGAGAAACTTTGCATGGAATTTCCAACCCTAATTAGTACCTGGAAAATTGACATTTACTTGGTCGTGAGTTTTATCCTTTAAGGCACTGACCTGGTAGGTGAGCAAACAGTATGTGTAACATCTACAGGATTGCACTCTATGTAGAATACAGCTTAATGCTCTCCAAGTTCTCTTATAATACAGTGTTGTCAGTGCAGTCTAGAGATTCAGACTCTAGGAAAACTTCACCTGTGCACTTAAAGGCACTTTAGGCAGCACAGATGAAAAGCTGTACAACTGCAGAAGCAAAGCATGTTGTGACAAGCCTTAAACTAATAGAACCACTGAGAGCCAGCAAACCAAAGTTGAGAAGAAAGAATAGCCTTGTTTCTAGTGTTACAGAAAGACGTGGTAAATGAGGCACTTCAGCAGCACTGCTAGCATTGAGTAAGTCTATTTACAGGTTATGATAAAAACAGTTCTGAGTTTCAAACTACAAGAAATTGAGCTTACTGAACTTCTTTTCCAGACTCAGCTTTGAGTTATTTATTTTAACATCTGAAGAAAATACTGATTTTTGCTCTTGAAAGGAATTGATACAGGAAAAAAAGAAAAAGAAGTTGAAAATTACTCAGAAAAATCATTTGGCCCAGCCTTCAGTATTTATTCAATAAACCCAGCAATATTTAATATTATCTAATTATTAAAAGGCTACAGAATCCAAGAGGAGAGGATGAGAAAAACACCTACAATACCCTGGTTTTACATTGGTGGTGTAGTGATTTTGTCCACAATAACTTAAAATTTAACAGACATCTTAAATACAAAAGATTATACTCGATCATCCAAATGACGGGGGGTTGGGTTTATTTGGGGGGGGTTGGGTTTTTTTTCCCAGAAAGATAGAAAGCAGTAAACAATGAGTTGGAGCACTAGACTCTTCCCTGAGAGGGTTAAGGGATAGAAAGTAAAGCAGAAGAGTTGGAACTGAATCCAAGTTGGACCCCAGGAGGATTCCAAGAAAGAATTCACTGTAAAAGCAAGCATATTTTATTCAGCATAAAAAAGCTAAATGGATCATGAAAGCATCTCAGCATGTTCACACAACACAAGGACAGAGAGCACTCTTAGATTTGCTTGTAGTAAAAGCTTTTTTTTTTTCCCATCTCTTTTACAAATATTTGCAATTGGTAACAGCTACACCGAGTGTGTTAGAGATGTAAATGTATCTTAGCACAGCTTGAGTTAAAAGTGATGACCAGATAAATGACTAATATAAGGCATTCTGAAACCCTGAGAGTTATGATTCATGCATCTAGCTTACTGAAGCACTCATGTGAAGCTGAGCTTTCCAGGAAATTACCCAAGGGACAACATAAGACAAGCCTCCCACTCATGCTGCATGGCTAGTTCTGAGAAAGGGCATTGCAAAAGTGAGAGAAACAAGTATATTTCAAAGGATCAGTGGTGGCCAGTAAAACCCTAAGTCATGTAGAATGAAAAGAGACTGGCAGCAAATACCAAAATCCTCAGGGAACAAGCCACAGCAGAGAAACAATGCTCTTGATTACAGAAAAAGCAGAAGAACGGACAGATCTGCAACAGGGATACAGAGTAAATATTCACCAGAGAAAGAGATGATCTGTTTGTCGAGCCATTTTCCAAGGAATAACATAAAAAGTCTGCTGTGACCTACATCCTCATACCAGCCCTATCACCATGAATCAGCTGACAGCCAGAGGAAGAAAATAAACTTTAAACATCCAAAATGAATAGAAAGCTGCATGAAAAGGGAATTGGGCTGAGGAAAACAAACTATGAGAAAATAAAAAATTGTTTGCCTTACTGCTGCATTTGCAGTCTAATAATTGTGTTCAGAAACTATTATGTTATCGTGAGTCTGTATCGTTCATTTTTACCTCTATGATTTGGACAAAGGAGTAGAGAAAGGGCTTCTTAAATTTGCAGTGTGTGTGCTTGGGGGACATACTTCAAACATACAGGAAGAAACTGAAAAAAATCATGGACACACTTGAGAAATGGAAGACCTTAAGAAAAAAAAAAAAAGAAAAAGAAAATCAAACACCCCACTAACAAACTAATAAAATAAATTCAGTCATGGACAAAGACAAAATCCTACATGTAAATTTCACAGATGTAATGGATAAGAGAAATGAAAAATCCAAAGTGCAGCAAAGAAGTTTGGACATTACAATGAATCACAAGCTGAAGATGAATCAAACCTCTCCTGCTCTTGTGGGAAAAACAAATAAAATAAAAGAAATTCTAAGCAATGGTGCAGTTTCACATTGAGCATTGTGTCCAGCTCGGGCACAACAGTTCCAGAAGGACCCAATCAGTTGGAAGGAGCCTCTCAAGGAGAATTATCAGAGCACAGAAGGGATCTATCTGAGGTTTTAGGTTTTTTTGCTTAGCTGATTTTCATCAATGCAGAAGGATACAAAGACTGGATAAAAACATTTCCACAACACTTGCTTTTATAGACTTATTTTTGTCTGTATACAGGTTTAAAGGTAAGCAGGTTACAGAAATTCTGTACATATCCTTAGTGAATTTATTGAGACTTTGCTGCATTTTTTACTACTTTAGATCTTGCTGAAAGCTTTTTCTTTTTATGTTACCTTGTGAAAATTTTAAAAATATATCAAATATTTTAAAAATATCTTCAAATACAATTCATTATTGTGCAAACACACAGGAAAAGAGCAATTCACTGTGAGTCCAGTCTGCACATAGAATATTTGACAGCATCAATGACAGCCCCCCACAGGCTGGCAGACCAGATAATTGAGATTTATTCAGGTTATTCTTTTGTCCTTTTTTACAGTTGCTTTAACAAGATTTCTTCTTAGATCTGTACAATCCCTAGGTGCTACAGCAATCACTTACACGGAAAAATACATTAGGAAAGTATTTTATGAACTACCACTGACACATGCAATTTCACAAATAAATAATAAAAAGAAGAATGTTATTCATTCACTGACCTCCATTTGGACACAAAACATTTTAGTGGATGTATGGGGGTGAGTTATGTGTACAGAATATTCTTATTTCGTAAGGTGGCACAAATCAGTTGTCTGTGCTCTAAGCCAGCCCAAAGCTGAGTGCAAATACCATCCTCAAGCCCCACAGCCCTTTAGTTTCAGCTCAGCAGTGCACTAAGATGGCCACAAGCAATTCCAGATCAGAACTGGCAGTGAGCCCAGCAAGTTTTGATACGGAAATACCTTCTTTTAGGTATATTTGCTAAAACCCTACTGCATGTTCTGGACATAGTCCTTTCTCTCATTGAAGGCTGGCAATGTCTATCCCAAATTTTTCAGAAACGTGGCAGAACCATAAAGAAACCTCAGGATCGGCTTTCTCCTTGGTTAGAACTGATTGCAGTACAACTGCTCTGTGGTTAGCGCTAGTACACAGAGTTGTATCTTAAGACAGTCTACAGCTCCAGTCCCAAAATAAACACAGATAAAATACCATTGCGCTGAGTATGAAGGAAGACTATGTTCACACAAACAGGCCTCAGAGTGCAACGCTGAAGACAGCTCAATCTGAAGAGGTAACATTTGCCAGCTATTTTTGGAGATTGCTGTCTTCAAAAGCATGCTTCATCTGCTGCAGCAAACCAAGCAATGCAGACAAACATACAAATACAGTCCCAGACACTATTTGTTTGAATTACATCTTGAATTTCCTTAATACCTTTAAAGATTCAACATTAAAATTTAAATCGGGGGCCAAGACAGAGATAAGTGTTTAAAGGTACTTGTGTTCAGCTGTCAGAGTGGGGGGAGATTGTTGCGCTTTTAGTTCTCATAAGATACAGATTCTGGTGGGACAAAGTCCAGTCTTGCTAATACATTCTCTTGCTGGTTGTGAGAAAAAGTTGCTTTACTGTTTGTGACTGTTCAAATCCTCTCACTTCACAATTCTTATGAAGTCTCAGATCTGAAAGAATCCATTTTGTATGTAGTCCTACCTGAGTTCAATCTTGAGCATAGCCTTTATGTGACTAAAAGGCCAGACACTAGACCACCTTTCCACCCTACTACCTCTGAGACTTGCTTAGTTTTCAAATGAATAGCCATGCTTATTGGGACATGAATTTGGGAGTTTTAGCTACTAAATCCTGCTAAAATCACTATGAATATTTCTGAGCATTTCTCATCTGTCTGGTCAGGTTGTATTAGCTGCTCTTGGAGTGTGGACATGTTTGTTAATGTGGTTGTGACTGTTAAGTGATGAGTAAGTAGTGTTGCAAAAAAAATCTGAGAATGACAGTTTCTACTATTTCCTTGAAAAGGATTTATTAACTTCTTAACACAGGCTGTCATACTGCCCTTTTGTTTACTTTACTAGTAGAAGGGTTGAGTGAACCACCTTCACTGAAAAGTGTGCAATATAAAATTCATCCTACCTTCAGCTGTACTAGGTGAACATCCACATGCTTGCTGTCCGAATCCTGCTGGACAGAGTATGTCAGATCCCTGACTCTTTCAGACGTCATCCGAAGCCAGGTCTCAATTTCTGGCAGGTGGAGAACAATCTTCCAATCAGCCCCAGTGTGTAGAGGAGGAGGCTTTTCATACTGCTGGCCAGAATCAAGCTCCTTCATGACATCCTCTTCCCCATCTTGTTCTACTGTCGGAGTCATGTTTATAAGCATTGGAGATGCGTCAGACGGCATGGGATCCAGTTCTTGTGTTGTCATGGGAGAAAGTGCTACATCCATGGCTAACATGGGAAAGCATAAACCATAATTCATTCCAAAATAGCTGCAAAAAGAAAAAGAAAAGAGACTGCATGTTACAAATTTTGCAACAAAAATGTTCACAAGACAAGGAGTAAATAGTAACGTCTGCGAGATATCACAATTCTATGCAAATACTTCTACCTAGGCTAGCTTTTCTACACCAGAAGTTCAAGAATTAATAGATATTTCAAGTTAACTGTGCTGATTTGAATGAACAAGTTTGGTTTGATTTTGGTTTGTTTTTTTGTTTGGTTGGGTTTTGTTTGTTTGTTTTTTTTGTGGGGAGGGGTGGGGGTGGGGAGTTGCTTTGTTGATTGGTTAGTTGGTTTTTTCTTTTTTTCCAAAGCCAACAAATACTGCATTTCTCTCACTGTAGAAAATCACTTTGGAAATCACAGTTTCCACTGATGAAAAATATGTACTGATTTTCTGTAACTGCAACAGAAGGAAACTGAGCATTTATAAAGCTAGCAGAAATTTACTTAACTCCACAAGTTAATATAGGACTGGTATTTGCAAACTAGCATGCATTAGAACATATTCCATGGCCTGAAATTTAAGATGAAAGACAAATTATCACAAGTTTTATTCACATTTCCTAACTGTCCACTTGACTACTGATCACATCCAATAAATGTTCTGAAGGCAAATTTGAAGTAAATATTGACAACACTTAGCTGATTTATCGTAGGCAGATTTTGGTTTGACGTTTAAATTCTTGTAATTTTAGATTAAGAACTGTCACAGTAAGCAACAGGTCTCTCAAAATTTAGAAATAAGAATTCCAAATGTCAAAATATGTACAGAAAATTAAAAAGATCATTTTACAAGAGTAGCTTTATGAAAGCCCAAAAGCTTTAACGTGTCATCAATTTACACTTACAAGTTTCACTGAAAAAAGTAAATAAGTAAAACATTTTATTTTGTATCCCATGCTCTGTACACTCTAGCTGTATGTAATATAGAAGGCTGCTGTAAATCCTATGCAGGAGAGAAAAAAAAATACTGAACAACACCACACCTGGTTTGGAGCTAAGTACCTAAAACGTTATGAAAACTTTAATTCAGTAGGAAAGCTATGTTTTACCTAATTTTGGAGATACCCAAATTTGCCATGTGCCTGCCTCTGACATACAACTTGACTAAAGTTTATACCAGCACTTACTTGCTTCTTCAATTCAAACCTAAGCTATATTCAGTAAGTCTACATTAGGCGAATTAGGAAGATTGGGTCCTTTTCATTGTTTTAACCAATGCATATTGGAAATACTTCAACTACATTTTTAAAAACTTTTGCTTGCATTCCTTTTCCATAGTGGTAAGACTGCAATTAACTCAGTTATGCAGCTATTAATTTGGGCAGTATTCCAAGTTTTTACATGTTGACTCTCTTTTCTATAAAGACTGCGTTTTAGGGTTTAGCATAATAACTGTAAGATTGCAGATGAGAAACCAGTGCCTTTCACTATTAAAGCAACTACACTGTGACAACTGAGTTATATCCCTAAATATTTCAAGTGGAGTCTCAGCATCCAGAAATGACTACTGCAGGAAGTGAGAGTATCAAGGAAGTAGCCAAACACCAGTCTACTTATCATAGCCAGGAAGGACAAAAAATTATGTTTAATATCAATTTCATTTTTTTTCCTGTCCTGTAGTAAAATATTTCTTGCACATTGCCCCCACAAGAGGATGTTTAACTGATATTAAGCTCGTAAATATTAATTTGGCACTTCAGAACAAAATTTTCTATTCATGAAATCAAGGAAAGGGAATAAAAAAAGATTCCAGTTGCTCTCAGTGCTTGCTGTACAATTTCCAGCTCTTTTAGTTTGATTTTTGAAGACTTCAGAATTAAATGCTGTCAAATAAAAAGCTCTGCAGCAAGGCTGAAATTAGCATTTCAGGATGATGAGTATATTTTTCAAGTCCATCTCTTTTCATTGCCCATTTTTCAACTTAAACTCTGTTGCCATACATACTCAAAATACAGTATTAGACAAATCACTCAATTTGAAAACATTTTTATGTTAGACACTGTTGATCACAGACTCAGCTTTAAAGTGTATAAATCAACTGTTCTAACAGCCAAACTCTCATATTACTTTAAGCATATTCTTTACATTTTTTACTCCTGAAAATGAAAGTTTGGTGAAGCACATGTGGTCCTAATTTCTGCATGCTTATTGTTAACAAATTAAACATGCCTGAATCACTAAATGATATAGAAACATGGAAAGTGAAACACTTGTTTAGGAATTTTTCCACAAAAAAACCACCCTGGCACTCTGATTATCAGAGTTTTTCAACATGACTCAGCTCTAGTAAGCACATTAAAGCAATTAGTGAACAGAAATTAAAACATGCTGCTGCAGAAGCAAACAAAAGCTAGCCCATGCTGCATGCAGAGCATAGCTCTAGCTTTGATACACCGAGTTTGCAATTAGCAACCATTAGGAACCTGCTGACCTGTTTTTTTGTTACGATATGCTTGACTCTATATACTGGCTCCCCCGCATTACAGCTAATGCCTCCTTAATCCTAGTTGCTCTTAAAGTCAAGTCCTATGAGTCCTTTTCTTTCTGCCAGATCACAACAAGTTGCCACACTTCAAGTAAGAATATGTCGAGAATCTTTAAAATAGATCATTCTTTTCACATTTAATAAATAAATAAATACATTAAAATCCTACAAAGGTAGTAAAACACACCGTGCATACCAATTAGCAAGGTCTGGGAAAGCTTTAAAAAGCTCACAAATGCTTGAAAGGAGCAACTTGTTGCAGCTAGAAATGGCTGAATCTCAACACTAGGACACAAGACTCATCAAATCGTTTCCTGGCAGAATAAAAAGGCACCAACCACCAGTTACGCTGTGAGAAAGGAAAACTGAAAGTTTCTCCTGCGCTCTCCAAGAAAGCTGTCACTGGAGCGGTGCGTTCACAGGAGTGCTCCTAAAATCACTGGAGAAACAGTAAGCTCCACCCTGTGATCCCTCCCCTGGCTCCCCCACAACTGTGGCAAAGGGAACATCATTCCCCTGTCACGCCTGCACAGACCCATGAGTCACACTGGCAAGGCGTTCTGAGTGCAGGCTTCGGTCACCCCCATGCTTGGGATAGGAAAACAGAAGAGGAAAGTGCCTGGCACAGAGGTGTTTTTACATAAAATTCTGATGTTGAAATACTAGATAGCAAACAAAGCCCAGCAGAAACAGTAAACCTCACAGACATAGCTACTTTAAGCAATTTAGGAGTTATAAAACTTGCCAAAATACTTTTGATCAGAAGTAGGTTCTGCTTTGTGGGTTACTGACCATGTGCAAGTCAGACTTCCATGTACCTAACTAGGTCAGCAGCTTTGTGAGGACTGCATTCATAAAGTTGTGTTAAGACAACAGCTACTGAAGATGACTAAATTAGCTGCTCTCCACCCCATTCTCAGACAGGCACTTGCATCTAATGTCCTCTAGCTATACCCTTTGCCCTCCAATGTTTAGAATATTACTTCTTTACTGAAACAGGGGAGGTGGAAACAGCAAGATGGGGCACTGATGTCCTTCTTCAGCAGTTCCAGTATTTGCATAATGTATCATCAGTGACCTATGATAAATTTCAGCAAAACCAATTTTAATTCGAAATTTGAAAAAGTGTATTGAAGAACAATATTCTGTATTCCAAGCTGTCATCCAGTGGATTAAAACACTTGCTAAAAAAATATGCAAATGGATGATCAAGTTAAACAATATTTTGGGGTTATATGTTGTTGTGTTTGATATTTTAAGTGACTGATTTTAAATGCTGGCCTTAGAATTTGTTATATTTCTAGAGTATTTTGTTTTTCCAGATTTTGTGGGATGTACAGGTAGTGGATTTTAAACCACCATAATAAGTGTTAGAACACATTAAAACTGAATACATGTCTTAGAGATGCTCTTTATACACTGTTATGTAAAAATTATTTTTGAAAAGAGGTAAAGAAGTGATTAATTTCCTTCTAAATACATACGAAAATACATATGTCCCAAACAATAAAAGTTAATCTCTCAGTGTTTTCCGGGCATGGCCTTATTTTCATCATCATAAATCATAATCAAAGTGAGAGTTATGATGCCAGTATTTTTAAAAATACTCCTCATATTATTTGTTTCTGTTCCCTCTGAAGCTACTGTTTCAGTCCGCTGGAAGGACGCATTTATGAATTACAAACATAGCTATGAGCTTTCTTTACTTTTTGTACTCTTTCTGGTGGGAGAAAAAAAACTAGATGAATTGATCGTATTTATTCGCCTTATGTTAGATCTTTAGTTACAGTTCTATATTTTCATATATACTTTTATGAAAGTTGATAGTTCCTGTGTAAGCACATGCACACATATGCTTTCTATCTTCATCTTTAGTAAGTGCATTATGCCTAACAGATGGCTGATTACCTTCCACTAATCACATAGCAATTTCGCTTTCCCCTGCTTTTCCACTCAATCAGATGCTAACGCTTTTATGCAAAACATAGAATGTGTGTGTCAACCATAATATAGTTCATCAATCACCACAAGACTCCTCTCACTCATTCTGCTCCCCAATTATTCACATTTGCCTTTTGTCTACTAAGGGCAGGCCATATATACTCTGCCAGCTATCATATCATCCACGTTTTCCTCCAGCAGCAGTTGGTTCCTGTCAAACAAAGCTTCATTAAGCATTTTAAGCCATACAGTAGTCCAACCATTGATCAGTGGTGCAGACACTGGGCCGAGTGAATGTTAATGAGTTCTAATTTTTCTTACTGTCACACATTGTTAAAATCAGCCATAAGCATTATACAGCCACCTGTCTGTCAATTCAGTCCATTCTCCAAAATGGCCTCCAAGCCCCAGAGAAACTCCATCATTAAATAATTATGTCTGCTTGCTGACTTTGAAATCTAATGGTGTAAATTTTAGCATCAGATTTAATGAGTTCATTGATGCTCATCTTCTAAACAGATACA